ATTTATTCAAATAAACTTACATTGAAGCACTTTTGAATAGTCATAACATTTTTTTTTAATCTACCGCTCATTCGGAATGCTGTCTCATCACAAGCAGAACAAGCAAGAAACTTGTGTGTTGCTCTTATAAATAATTTATTCTTACTTACGATTTAAGTTTAAGTGTGTGAATACAAACCACCGATTAGCACTAATTCAATGAAATAATAAAATAGAAAAAACATTCAAGGTAGTAGTAAAAAACATTCAAGTAGATTTAAAAAAATGTTGACTATTCAAAAGAACTTAAATTAAGTTTATTTGAATAAATGATTTTCTATTCTATTCTATTCTATTCTAAAAGTGTCCTTGATAGTCCCATTGAGAGTAATAATAGAGAAGATATATAAATCTAGAAGATTGTTCTATAAAGGGAATTAATTAAAAGGGAAGAGCTTACGTGGAAGTAATTAGCGAAGGTTTGTTCAACTTGTACACCCTCACAGACTTACGCCAAGTGTACACAGGGCGCCGAATATATACTGGCTCTAGGTATACTACGGTACATTGGTAATATAGGAATGACATGACATTTAGTAGACTTGTTCGATTCAAATTCAAATTCAAATTCAAAAATCATTTATTCATGTAGGACATTTTAGCCGCTTATGAACGTCAAATTTTTACATTATAATTTTATTTTTCTCTACCGTCCAGTTCGGTATATAGATCCAATTGAGAAGAACTGGCAAGAAACTCAATTGAATTACTTTTTTTTTAAAGCCAGTTTATTTACAATGTATATTTATATAGGTGTCTATGTCTAACATTAAAATGAAAATTCAGTGCATGAACAACTATTGCCATGCACACTCGTCATTCAAGTAATCGTTTAGTGAGTAGAGGCTTTGCTTAGTAAATATGATTTAACAGATGTTTTGAATTTATTTAAGGTAATTCCAACATATCCTTTGGTATTTTATTGTATATAATTTTTATACCTATTCCCATAAAAGACCTATTGACTTTTTCTGAACGATACTTGGGGACAGCAAGTTTGTCTTTAAATCTAGTATTAATATTATGAATATTGCTGTTTTTTGGAAATAAGTCAAGATTTTTATGAACATATAGGATATTTGAATATATAAATTGAGAAGCAACGGTGAGAATATTTGCCTCTTTGAATTTCTCTCTTAATGAGTCACGACTCTTCATACAGTAGATCGCTCGAATGGCACGTTTTTGTAATATGAATATATTTTTAATATCATCCACTTTTCCCCATAATAATATTCCATAAGAGAGTAAACTATGAAAATTACTAAAATATGAAAATAACTAAAATAGACCAAGTATCAGTATCAGTGTACTGTCTAACCTTACGCACGGCAAAAGCTGCTGAACTTAGCTGCAAGGCTTTGAATTTGTGCACCCCATTGTGTTTTATTATCTAGTGTGATTCCTAGAAAGACAGTAGATTCTATAAATTCGAGAGATTCGTCATTTAATTTAATATTGCAATTAGTATTAAAACTTTTAGACAGAGAGAAATTAACACATTTTGTTTTTTTAGCGTTTAACTTACGATTCTCTACGAGGTTAGTTGTAAAACGTAAACATGAAACATATTACTAGTTTCAAACATACACTTGAAACTAGTAATATAAATCTGTAATATTAGTTACAACTAACTGTTCCCGCGACTTCGTCCGCGTGAAATTTAACTTTATTTTTCTAAAATAAAAGTAGCCTAAGTTACTCTTTATTACATCAGCTACCTGCCAATAAAAGTCCCGTGAAAATCGGTCCAGCCATTTCGGAGATTAGCCGGAACAGACAGACAGACAAACAGACAGACAACAATTGTAAAAAAAAATATTTCAGTGTATGTACCCGTATCTATATTCATAAGCATGTAGTAAAAACGGTTATTTCAATATTACAAACAGACACAGCAATTTTATTTATATGTATAGATAAGATACCAAAGGATATACTGGAATTAAGGTATGGAGACAGAGTTTAGACACGGCAGTGCTTAGTACACAATATTGGATTTGTCTTACTAGATTTTATTAAATGCAATTATAATTTTGATGTATCTAGGTAACTGTGTCCCTTACCCTTAAATAAATTCAAACTAAACGATTACCTGAATGACGAGTGTGCATGGCAATAGTTGTTCATGCACGGGATTTTCATTTAATGTTAGACATAGATACCTATATAAATATACATTGTAAATAAACTGGCTTTTAAAAAAAAATTGAGTTTCTAGCCAGTTCATCTCAATTGAATCTGAACTGAGCAGGACGGTAACGAAAAAAATATAATATAAAAATTTCACGTTCATAAGCGGCTAAAATGTCGTACATGAATAAATGATTTCGGAATTTGAATTTCAATAGAAAAATTATATATTCAAATATACATAAATATAACCACTTTTGAAAGTCTCGGTTCAGCACGACGCTTTACTTCTCATGGTGTCGGATTCGATTCCTCGAACGGTACAAAAAATTTCCATTCATGAGTATGACTATTCTCGAGGGACCCTTTGAGAACATCCCCGGGTAGCGGATAGGGGAAGGCCCGACGGTGCTTTGAAAGAAGTTCCGGAGGGTAGGAGGGAAATGAAATACCTCCCGACGATCAACAGGTTTCCTCTCGTGGGACCGTTCGGACATATTCTGATACCGGGCCGACGAGAAACAGCGGTATCAGACAGGGTATCGTATAGAGGATGGCGGTGGAAGGACATAGGCCATCGACGGCATCCTAATCCTCAGTCAGCAAGAGAGGTTACTGTCTTGGCGGCAAGAGGCAACCGGCCATAAAACTAAAGCCACTATAAGTTCTCCTAATCATTAAGTACAGTACAAATAAGAAATAGTCTCATACTACGGCATCCCCTGCAAGCGACAAGGTACTAAACGTCAATACGAAACCAATTAAGATGGGATAAGACCGGGAGAGAGAGAGAGAGAGAGAGAGAGAGAGAGAGAGAGAGAGTATGACTAATTTGTACCGGTATGGATGTTATCTACGTACATTATATACGCATTTACAAAAAAAATATTATTTATGTGTACATGTGTGTTCCGTATTACGAACTTTTATTACTTATTTATTTCACATTATTTCGTTCAGTTCATTTTAGTTTATTAAAAAAAATATACAAGGTACATTATTACATAATGATTATTATGTAGTTATATGTATGTGTATATGATATGTAAATTGTACATCCAACAACAAATTGTTATACCTCGACCAGACACAGTCTAATCACTCCTCTCCATCCTAAGGTTGCCTGGAAGAAATCGCTATTTAGCGATAAGGCCGCCCATTGTTACCTCTATATTATAATTATTTTGTTATTATTTTCATATTTAATGTACATATTAATTTATGTAATTACTCTTTCTGTGAGAGGAACAATAAAGTGTTTTTCATTCATTCATTCATTATTATTCACCCTCGAGGACATAGCTGAAAATCAGTGTTTTGCTCCTTGAGTGATTCTCCACACTGAGCTATGTACCAATTTTGTATTGCTGTAGCACACACGTGCAGGTTTACCCTTATTGAATTGTTATATTGTAGGTACTTGTCATTTGATGTTATAATTAGGCCTGTATGTGTGTACTAAGATACAAATAAAAACTATTATCTATCTATATAACTTCCTTAGTCTATGCAGGTTGTATCACTGGCTTGCTAACTGATGCAAAGGGCGCTCGGTAATACTGGCCACAAATAAATATATGTGCCCACTTATATTTCTAATTTAGAATAAAGAAACAATTAAAAATAAAAACTGGAATAAAAAGTTCGGTTCTTTTAAATCAAATTCAAATTCAAAATATCTTTATTCATGTAGATCTATTACAGACTCTTATGATATGTCAAATCTAACGTCAGTTCGGAATGACATCGAGATGAGAAGAACTGACGAGAAACTCAGCTCGTATTCTTTTCAAATAAATGTTGTACATGTTTACAATAATACAGATTCATTTAAATTCAAATTTGGGAGAATAGAGTGACCACCAGCATATGCTATCGCAAAGAACAAAAAATTTAATCAGTGTTCACAACCTGAACAGACCAGTCCCCACAAGCAGTACCCGTTCACGAGTATGACGTATGAGCCAGCCATCATTGTACTCAACCATATTTGAGGGAGCACATCGACCCGGCCCACCACACCGCCACAAGTTTGAACTTTATAGCGAGCATGACTGTTTCAGGTTGCTCCACTACGTCAATTATATTATTTACAGCATAAACTGTACCGATCACAGTTTTCACGAGCATGACTGTTTTTTTTTTTAAGACGAGTGATTGTATTATTTACACTGATGAAATTGCGGTTCTTGGTATGTATCCTTTTTTTTTTATGTTTTTTTCTGTTTTGCGATTTTTTTTCTTTTTTTTATTTTTTATTTTTGTGTGATTATGAATTAATGAATTTTTCGTGATTGCCGGTATGTATCCGAGCATGACTGTTTCAAGTTACTCCACTACGTCAATTACATTATTTACAGCATAGCAGCTATATAAAACAAAGAAAAATATTGATTTAGTTGATATAGTATAATTGTTTTTATGAAAATATACACTGTAGAGTGCGTGGCCACTAAACAGTACTACACATCGGGACGTTCCTGAGCAAAGTAACACCAAACTTACTCAAGTCTGGAGTTACATTCCTTATTTGGGGTGTTCGGAGTGTGGAAGACGTTCTTCCAGGTCGAAATCGTATTTCTGCTTACTTTTCCATTAATTATTTTCTTTTTAATAAATACAGTCCACTCTCTATTTTATATTTTACTTTATAAGGATTCGTAATCCAATAATGTGTTTTAGAGATTTTTCTACGTATTGATAAAGTTTTTATTAATATGTACATAATTATCTGTAGCATTGTCTAGTACATAATGACATAGAAACTTTGCTTATTCGACCTGGATTTGTTACTTAAAATATACAACTTCTTACGCTGTTGTACTTACTTGTATATCCACTTTTTCGTAGCCTCCAACTTTAAAGTGATTCGGTATAAATTCTACTTTGAGAATATCTCCATCGCTGTCTGCAACAACATAACTATCATTCAAATACAAATTCAAATTAAAAAATCATTTATTCATGTATTTAGGACATTTTAGCCGCTTATGTACGTCGAATTTTTTATATTATATTTTTTCCCTACCGTCCAGTTCAATATACAGATCCAATTGAGAAGAACTGGCAAGAAACTCAATTGAATATTTTTTCAAAGCCAGTTTATTTACAACTAGCTGTACACGCGACTTTGTCCGCGTGGAATTTAACTTTATTTTTCTAAAATTTAATTTTTCGGACTACTCTAATGTTGGCCGCAGTTGGCCTTTACAGCTTCACTTGACGATAAGGGGCGAGTGCAGATGGTACTCCAAACCCGCGGAAGGACTTATGGAGCGGCTGAGCCCAACCTGAGGGATAAGATTTTAGTCTGAGGCCACCGCTAGGGGTTTGAACCTCGACTCAGGCCGTAATTTCGATCCCCGTTTGAATTGGACGGGGGATCGATTGGTGAGAGACAGAGAGAGAGAGAAGGAGGGGAATTGCAAGTACGTTGCCGGCCTTTTAAGTAGAAATTAGCTCTTAAAGATTTAATATCGTATCGGTTCGGAAATACCATTGCTGGAAGGTGATTCCACAAAATGGTTCACATTGAAATAGAGCAATATGAACTTTATTGCATTACACAAAAGATTCATATAATAACTGTGTTGTAACTGGTTAATCAAAAATGTAGTTTATGTTCTAGATTTGTATTTAATATAAGTTCTTTTATATTACATTCTTGTTTTGTTACTTCATTCTGTTATTTATGTCAGTATACCATACAAATATATATTTTTTCTCCTTATTCCAAGTCTTTTTTTCTATTATCTATACATGAATAAAATAAAACTACAATTCAATTCAATTCAATTGTAGTTTTATATTTTTTCTCCTTATTACAACTCTTTTTTTCTATTATCTGTACATGAATAAAATACAACTACAACAAATTGTACTCCTTTGAATCTATAGCGTGTGTGAAAAATAATCTGCACATAGCTAGCCGCGGAAGGATCGGATAAAAGAAGCTAGGTTTAATTTCCAAGTACACACGGTTCCAAACGATCCCCTTAGGTGTAAACACGTAATAAACTGTTAGCTCATTTATAGCTTCAACTGTAGTTAATGCCAACAATGCGTACAGTAATCTGCCCTTACCTCGGCGACTCGTTTGCGCTCCATAAATTACTGTTTGTGGGGTCAGGGAGTTAGTTAAAACTTTAAGAACTATGCCAGAATAAAATATTGCACTTTTATCTCAGTTATTCAGAGTAATAAACGTGGTAATATTAAGTCAAATGGTTTATGAATATTATGTTAGTTGGTAGTTTGTGTTCACACTTTAAGGAGGTGTGTACACGCCTCTTTAGGGTTTGGTTTATGACCTACTTTGTTGAGAACCTGGGAGCTGGTAATGATACAGCCTAGAGACAGAATCTAAGTGTGTTAATTGTATTTTTTTTTCGGAGTACTCTAATGCTGTTGGCCACTGCTGACCTTTACAGATTCACCGGACGAAAAAAATATTTCGGCCCTATATACCATTTTACACGTGTCGCTTTTAAGCGCAGCTGCAGGTAACGACGGCTGGAAGGTCGCGCAGCTGCGTTACACGTGCCGTGCGATAAGGATTCTAGAAAGTGGACGGTTGCACGTGTAGAAACTGTGTTACTACAACACATTTCAACTAAAAAAGGTAAAGTTACTAAATTATCTAGAAGATCAACAAGCAAATTTTTCACTCGACCTTTTTGTGATGAGAGATTTGTGATTGAGTGGTAAATTAAAAAATAATTATGACTATTGAATAGTGCTTAAATTAAAGTTTATTTAAATAAAGATTTTTCTTTTTATTCTCTACTGTAATTTTGAAATGTGGGAGATTGTTACGTACTAACTAACAGTTTTTAATTATATTTTATATACATTACATTGTGTATTCTGTAAATCTATGGTATGTAGCATGTTATATAGGTAACATTTACATACAGGACTCATTGGTTATTTAATAATTGGCTTATTTCGTACAATATTAACTATATGGATGCTAACTTCACTGCTATCTTACGTTTCATACCACAGCAAAATTTACAATGAAAACATTTCGGACCCAAGTACACTGGCGACTTTCTGCAATTTGTAAAATATAATCGATGTAGTAAATAGACAAAAATAATGACAGTTACCAATCGCAGGATCCCAGCTGACGGTAGTGGCGATCGGCGTGATGTTTGTGATGATGAGACGGTAACGAGTGCGAGTCCCGATGATGAGAGCAGAGTTCGGTCGCAGGACGGCGGTGCCATCACTGCGGTTACCAGCGCCCAGGTCCAAGTTACAACCGATGGCTGATGTAATACAACAATAAATAATCATTTCCTCGGACAATCCACAGAACGTCATCTAGTCCTAATGTAAGTAGAGCTTGTTAGACTATACTAGTATACTTAGTATACTATACTAGACATTATATATAAATACGTAGACTTCAGATCAAACAGAATCAAAGTCACGACTTTGCTTCCGTGACCCTGGCGCTAGTAGCAGATATCACCATGAGCCGGTAGGAGTCCGACAGTATCCGGGTGCCTCACCTAGGGCGGGCATATCTTCATGACGGTTTTCCCATACAAAAAAAATTGTAAAAGTGTGGTGTGACTAACAGCGGACGGCGCGCAGCACGAGGCGCGGTGCCAGCACCCGGCAGCCAACCAGCGACGCGCGCGCCACACCACGCCCACTTCGCGCTACCACCAGCCGCACCACACACCCATCTCTCTACGGATACCGTTATCATCACTGTCATCATCATCATCACCATATTTTGGATAAAATTAATTTTTGAAAGTAACGATTGCGTTATAGGTACTAGACACCTGATATAAATTCTCAAATACCTTTTTTTTTTAAATACAAACATTATGGTTTGGCATGTTCGTTTAAATACTTTGGAGAAATCAAATACGGAAGATTTTATACATAATGAGGAAGGAAATCATTGAGATTTTAAAATATTTACTTTTCAGTCATAGTATCATCATTCCATAGTATAAAACAAAGTCGCTATTGCTGTCTGTATATATGCTTAAATCATTAAAACTACGCAACGGATTTTGAAGCTTTTTTTAGTAGATAGAGTGATTCAACGATAAACTCATGCCGTGCCACGTTGGCTACATATGTATCCAGAAAGTGTTTCGTTCAGCAGACCATCGACACCACAGTAAGGGGACCAAGATGACTGGGGGGAACTCTATCGTTCTCTCAAATTACTTTTGATTTATTTGGACTTCATCTGCAACAATATATCTATCGTGAAGCTATACCAATTAATTTTTCTATTGGTCGGTCAGTCCGCAGTACAGGCGGATGGTGCGAACGTGCAGTAGTTTGCCACGGGCGTGTGTATGTATAGAGAGCGCGGTCAGTCCGCAGTGCAGGCGGGTGGTGCAAGCGTGCATCAGTTCGCCGCGGTCGTATGTATGAGTATGTACGTACAGAGGGCGCGGTCAGTCCGCAGTGCAGGCGGGCGGAGCCCTCGTGGAGCAGTTCTCCGTGTGCGGGCTGGATGGACGTGCACGTGCAGGCGGCATCCTGACACCCCTCGCAGGGTTCTCGTCCGCGGCACGCGGTGTTCAACGTGCTCTCGTCCCACCAACCGCACGACTCGGACCACCACCGTACCTTCAGTAAACTTATCATACAAAGACGCCCCATTCCGACTTCTCATACCATATACGTAGATAAGGAATTGTACCATTATGATAAAAAAAGTATTGTAAGTAATTTGCTATAAATTTCATTCACTTAGGCGCAGTCAGCTTAAGGTCGGTAAGTCTTTGAGAATCGTGTGAAAGACACAGTCCTCTCTAAAGACTTTCGACCTGACTGACGACATTTTGATAACATTATCGACGGATAACATTGGATAATCAGAATCCTTCTCGACTTTCGATGTCGCAGTGAACTCTCGACCTGCGTTCATTTGGGTATATTTGTATCCAACGCTGTACGAATAGGAGACTACTCCCTACCAAAACCACTACATGATGCTCCCAAAAGACACTAAAGTAGATTAGGAATTCAAAGAAGGAATTATTAGGAAGGTTACATGTTGGTGCGTATCGTTGAGGACTTCCAGCGGTACGTGCAGGCGGGCCCCAGGTGGCACCAGCCCGAGCCACGCTCGCGCCGGTTCTAGCCGCGGTTGCCGGGTCGAACTTTGCCGAACAACCCTGCATTGGGACCGCCACTCGTCGTTCTCTGCCACCATCCTATATGGTCAGACTTCTAATTTATATCCATTGTCTTTACGGCGAAATATTATAGAATTGTTAGAATTAATACCAGCTGCTGAATTTCATCATCGCATTACCCGCTAGAAACAAAATACCATCCTGAATATCTGAATGAATGGTTGCTAAACGCAACGTGGAGGACGTTGCGTTTAGCGACTGTGCGTTATTTAGAAACTTTCAGCCATGCACAAATACATTGTAGGGTAATAACCTTGCAGCAATGGTATTTCCGAACCGATACGATATTGAACCCTTCAAGTGTTTATTTCTGCTTAAAATACCGACAACGTACCTGCAATTCTCCTTATGTTCCGGGTGCTCATAGACGGTGGTAATCACTTACCATCAGTGGAACCGAAGACTCGTTTGTCCCCTATGCCATATTTTATAATTTTATATACCTGAGATAGCAAAAAAACTGATAGCCCACCTGATGATATATGCCAATGGAGATAACCGTTGGCATTTATTTGATAATAAATGCCAACGGTTATCTCCCACCTGATGGTGGGCTATACACGATCAGTACATCATGTTACGCCCGTGGTAACATTTATGTGTTACTATTTCACTGGATGTCATGACTGCATACCCTGTAATTACACTGCCTTACAGTAAGGCTAAACAGAGAGATAGGTGAGACAGAAAAATTGAATCCTCTAATATATTATATATAATCAGAAATAGAGAATCAAAAATCATAGAAACCATAAGGAGTGTATCAAGGATTGGCAAACATATTCGTCTAAACTTGCTTCTTCGTTTTTTGCTGCTATTGAAACTTAATCTAAATATATAACTCAAAGGTGACTGACTAACATAGTGATCTCTCAACGCACAGCCCAAATCACTAGACGGATCGGGCTGAAACTTGGCATGCAGGTAGATGTTATAACGTAGGCATCCGCTAAGAAAGGATTTTGATTAATTCTACCCCCAACGGGATAAAATAGGGGATGAAAATTTGTATGACACTTTGTCAATTTTAAACCGATCGGCCTGAGACTTTCCCCGATCCCCGATCCCGTAAGAAAGGATTTTGATAAATTACACTCCTAAGGGGATAAGTTAACGTGAGCGAAGCTGCGGGTAAAAGCTAGTTTTACATATAAATTGAGTAAATTACCCAATAACATCAGTCTCTGGGTATTCATTAGGAAGACTCGGCAAGTCGAAGTTGAGGATCGCATCCAAAGAGTTGGCAGGACTTAGACGTGACTGAGAGGCGGGGGGCTGCACTCTTGGGGGCAGCTCCCACTTGGTGTACACTGATTTACATCCGTACAACTGCGTAGCTCGAATCTTCAGATCTATCTTCTTAACTCTAAATGATTGATTTAGATTTTTTAACAAATAATGGAATGTTACATCCGCTTGCGCTAACGGTAAATGCGGCATCAAAGGAGGATCATAAGAGAAGGTGCACGTGAGTATCTGCGCTACTTCTCCTGAAGATGAGTAGTGACCCGTCTACTGAGATGGGTCCCCGCCGTCGGAGCTGCGGAAGAATGCTCGCGCACACCCGGAGCTCCGGCAATAAGCACTAGAGATACACCTTAGGGTTTTAGCCGGTAGGAGTCCGGCAGTACCCACTCGTTACCCCTGGAGCGGGCGGGTCTCTATGACGGATTTCCCCAAGAAAAAAAAAATTGCGACTAACCTTCTAGAATGTGGCAGCAACAAATACGGTGGATCAAGTATGAATCTCACAGCAACGACGTCCCACCACACCTCCAGTTGGCAACACACCACGTCACAAACTTCCCGGGACCAACCCTGAAAACATAATTTATTACAACACAGCAACGAAACATAGCATCGAATACTTGAACATATGTAGACAGATGGACAAAACTTTCATAGACATAACTAGCTTTTGCCCGCGGCTTCGCTCGCGTTAAGAAGTATTATTATTAATTAGGTTTAGTTTTTGCGGCTTTGTTTTTGTTTAGCGTGTGTAAAAAATTATGGCCTACAAAACTTGTTTGTACACAATATTCTTAACTAATCTGTCATTAGACGCTAAAACTATCAAGCTGGATGAACTTACTCGTGAGCATGCGACATAAAACTGCCCATGAGAGAAGCAATGTTCTCTCAAGTCAATACCCGCAAATTTGAGAGTTTGCCCCTATTTTATCTCCTTAGGGGTGGAATTTATCAAAATCCATAGTAGCTTTAAAATTGACAAAATTTCATACAAACTTTGAACCCCTTTTGAACCTTTTTAAATTATAGCCTACTTATTATTCTGATGTATTAGTTATATTACTGTAAAATTTCATCGAAATCCATTCAGTAGTTTTTGCGTGAAAGAGTAACAGACATCCAGCAATACTCACAAACTTTCGGGTTTATAATATTAGTATGATTCATAAGCATTTGAATATAACCGTCTGGTGGTCACTTTAAAACTTGGAATGTTAAAAGTTTTGCAGTATAAACAACACTGCATCAACCAACAACAAAATTATCTTAGCAAATAAACCTTATATGAAATATACTCTATTGCAATATATGTATTTACATTTATTTATTTATTATTTTTATAATTATTAACAGTGTAATTTCAGTTATTTTTAAACATTCGTGTATAATATTAACCAGGTCTTAACATAAATTCAAGCAAAGATCAGTAGCATCAACAGTCGATAAGTGTATGGATACCGTGAGTGCAGTGTGTAGCGAACTTTCGTTGAACAATCTAGTGACGGTAGATGAAAAAACTGCTGTCACCTATGTGTCTACATTGACATCGCTGTTACTCCAGTCAGCTCGTGACCACGGTTAGTGCAACCTAGTCGAATCGTCGAGAGAGGTAAATACTTTTACTCTTTCTTCTTTCTTTCTTTCTTTCTTTCTTTCTTCTTTTATTTGCCATAAAATTATTCGTGTTAAGACCCAGTATATAATATAAATAAGGTGTAATTTTATATGTTACTGATCATATTAAATTATTTTATGCTATTTCCATTGCCATAATCTTCACTCTTAAGGAAATAATAAAAAGGTTAGTCGACATCACAGAAGACCGAAGAGCTGGCAGCTACCTCGGACAAAGAATTAGTCCAGCCATTCAAAGGGGGAACGCTGCCAGTATCTTTAGAACCTTGCCTAAAGGGACTTCTTTTAATAATATATTTTAGTTATCTAAACATATATAACTCAAAGGTGACTGACTGACATAGTGATCTATCAACGCACAGCCCAAACCACTGGACGGATCGGGCTGAAATTTGGCATGTAGGTAGATGTTATAACGTAGACATCCGGTAATAAAGGACTTTGATTAATTCTACCCTCAAGGGAATAAAATAGGGGATGAAAGTTTGTATGAAACTTTGTCAATTTTAAACCGATCGGGCTGAGACTTTGCATGCATAAAGCTACTATGACGTAGGCATCCCCTAAGAAATGATTTTGATAAATTCCATCCCCAAAAGCTAGTTATATTATATTTCTTAAGGTTTTTAATTTTAAAAAAGAAATTTAATATTTAGATATATTTATATAGTGAAATTATAACAGTTTTATTAAGTACCTCCACACCTGGTATAGGATCCGACTGGATCGTTTTGCTGTTGACAGACAACGTGTCGTAACCTAGAGGTATGCTTTCCCGTGGTATATCCTTCAACACCAACCTGAATTAAAGAAGTATTATTACAATTAATAATAAATAATATAAAACAGAACTCAGTACTCAAAACCCCAAATATATTTAGATTAAAAAAACAACTCAGTACTCCAAGTGTTCAATCCCTTATGTGGTATATTTTCTCGAATTAGGTGTTATTTTGGGGAAGTAAATTTCATTACTTAATGGATTTGTTTTATTTTGTAATTCTTGAAATAGAAATAGAAATAGAAATAATCTTTATTCTAACTCAGTACAAGTACTATTGAATAGTCATATTTTGATTCTACCACTCATTCGGAATGCAGATTCATCACAAGAAGAATGAGCAAGAAACTTGTGTGTTGCTCTTTTTAATAGATGTTTTTTTTATATAAATAATTACAGTATAACAAGTAAGAGGCATGCGATAATCAACATAGAAATCGCTACGCACTCTTCTTCTGTAACCATTATCATGTGTGGGACAACAAATATTCAGTGAGACGACCTGAACAGCGCTACGGCCTTCCCTACTAGTGATCAAACTTCAACTCTAATCTGATCTACAGCCCTATTATGATATTATAGTATTTCAATTTAATCCCTATCTTTCTTAACTATTTTAAAGCTGTTGTCTGCAGTAGCCTTTACAGCTTCGCCAAACGAGGAGCGAGTGAAAATGACACTCCAAAACCGTAGAAGGAATTATAGAGCGGCTGACGGCCATCTCCCACCTGATGGATACGACTTCAGTCTAAGGACACTGCTAGGAGTTCGAACTTCTGCTAATGGTGAGAATTGCAAACCCCGTTTCAATTGGACGGGGGATCGGTCGGAAGGAAATGAACACTTACATGATCACTGTAGTATCGGATTGGTGTTTCAGGCGTCCATAGGCTGCGGTAACCATTTACCATCAGATGGGCCGTATGCTTGTTTGCCACCATAGTAGTATAAAAAAAATCTTCCGCCTGACTGATACGACCTCAGTCTAAAGACACTGCTAGGGGTTTAAATCTCGGCTAAAAGTGGTAATTTCGATCCCCGTTTTAATTGGACACGGATCGATTGGAGGAGAATAAATACTTACATCAGCACTGCTCTTTGTACTCCGATCTGATCTCCAACATCTGGCATACACACGTGCACCGGACATGACGACCTCGGTGCAACTCGACCCTGCGTCGGTTCCACTCGCAATAACTTGGCGTTACTCGAGCAATTGAATTCCTAATTTTAGGCAAAAAACACACTAAATTCGTACAGTGATAGGCGCGTAGCTTTATACTAACTATATGTCCCACGCGACTTCTACGTCTAATTTTCGGGGTTTTACTATATTTTTCATTGCAGCTCTGCATCTATTAGTCGTAGTGTAATCTAAATATATATAACTCAAAGGTGACATAGTGATCTATCAACGCACAGCCCAAACCACTTGACGGATCGGGCTCAAATATGGCATGCAGGTAGATCTTAGGTAGGCATCCGCTAAGAAAGATTTTAGTTAATTCTACCCCTTAGGAGATAAAATAGGGGATGAAAGTTTGTATGAAAATTTGTCAATTTTAAACTGATCGGGCTGAGACTTTGCATGCATAAAGCTACTATGACGTAGACATTCCCTAATAAAGGATTTTGATAAATTCCACCCCTAAGGGGATAAATTAACGCGAGCGAAGCCGCGGGCAATTTAATCCCTAATTTTAGGCAAAAAACATGCAAAATTTCCAGACAGTGCTTGTAGCGTAGCTTTATACCCAGCTGGTATTCCAGACAACTTCTTCTGCATCACATTTTCCCGTGTTTTTGCTATATTTTTCATTGCAGTCTGCTCCTATTAGTCATAGCACGATCCGCTGTTTCTTTTTTAATATTACAACCTACTACTTACGTATATACGGTTGAGTCTACTTGATCCTACAAGATTTATCCTACCTGGGAATAGAGGAAGATCGTCCAAATAAGGCGTAAGTCCTAGTATCCTATGATTATGACTAACAGGAGTAGACCAATTTTATACATCCTGTAGTCGTTCTTGAAAAACAAGCTTTCCATCTCTACAATAAATCTCAAAATCGATTTAGTAGATCCCGAGATTACTCCCTACAACCTCACAAACTTTACCTCTTTATGATATTAAAACTTTATAGATTTAAACCTGGATTAGCGCCAACTTAGAAGAAAACTTGTAACTAAGTGTTCTAAGTGAATGCATTCAGATATTTATATCCTAGATTCTCATAATAGGCTATCTTAGTTAAAGAACCGCTATTTGTAAAATTATTGAGCTGATTCAAACCAGCACAATAATTTTTGCCTTGCTTTTATTTTAAATAGGGTATTTAATTTCAATTTTTTTAAATATATATATTACTAAAGTTATAATATTATAGATTGCAATATCATCATCTGCTTCTTCCTTATCCTATTTATTTGTGGTCGTCCTAATATGTTTTTCTCTTCCATACATCTCTGTTCTCAGTCATCCTGTTATTTATTTCCTTTCTCACCATATCATCTTTCACACAGTCCATCCATCTCTTTTTCGGTCTTCCTCTACCCTTATATGTAACACCGTCCTTAGGATATGATCTTCATTCCTACGCATTACATGTCCATACCACGATAGACGATTACTCTTTAACCTTTCATACTTCCTCATAATAATAATAATCTCAGGACAATTCACACAACGCCATCTAGACCCAAGTTAAGCCAGCTAAATCTTGTGTTATGAGTACTAGATAACTGATACAAATACATAGATATATTTTTTTCTCGTAAATACCAGACCAGTACAAATAATCATACTCAGGAATACTAATGTGCCGTGCGAGGAATCGAATCCGGGACCAATGTGGTAACCCGCTAGACGGTCGAGGCTGTCAATAATAGTCCATGATTAACCTGTTGTTGTCTACCTTTTCATCTTTGGCCCCAATACAAAGCTGCGCACTAGCGTCGTCGGAGACCAGAGATCCCGCCGCTGCCTTCTCTTCCTCCCAACAAGAACCGACGCCCCAGGGACGAACGCTCCAGGAATATGAATACAAAACTGAGCTGGATATGAAATAAATTACGTAATCTATTGTTAGGGCTCACATAATTGAACTTTCGCGTTTATAATATTACTAGCTTTTACCCGCGGCTTCATTCGCATTGAATCAAAAATATTTTTTTTTTAATAAAAAATACATATTTATTGTCTCTAAGAACATGTGTACAAAATTTCATGATGATCGGTTCAGTAGTTTTTGCGTGAAAGAGTAACAAGCATCCCTACTTTCACATTTATAATATCACTAGCGACGCGCCCCGGCTTAGTACAGGTGTACATGTATTATATATATAAAACTTCCTCTTGTATCAGTCAATCTATTTAAAAAAAAACCTCTTCAAAATCCGTTGCGTAGTTTTAAAGATTTAAGCATACATAGAGACAGACAGCGATAGGGACTTTGTTTTATACTATGTAATGATTAGTCATCATACCTGCTTCGGCTTCGCACGGGTGTACATGTATTATACATATAAACCTTCCTCTTGAATCACTCTATCTATTAAAAAAACCGCTTCAAAATCCGTTGCGTAGTTTTAAAGATTTAAGCATACATAGAGACAGACAGTGAGAGCTACTTTGTTTTATACTATGTAATGATTAAGGATTAAGATTTACTTATATGTACCATAAGAACATGTACAATTACTAAACACACACGCTACCTGTGATTGACAATTTGAACAGTGGCCGACAGTGAACGGTGAGGGAAACCGGTCCCGAGGTGTACATAATACTCGCACGCTGGATCATCCTCGCTGCAGATGTCGTAATCTTTATCCTGCGCCTAGTAAAGACAGAATTTTTAAAGTTACAGTTATTTAATTACAAGCCCAACAAACAACAACAAAAACTAAAGAGAATTTTAAAAACCAACTAAATAAACATCTACCAAGTAAACAAATTACTTTAATCCTTTAGGACGTTCCTTATCTGAGGAGCTTTATTAACCAGCTGCTTACCCAACTTAGTTACCTCAATCTTACCGCAAGCATTGTCTTCCATCATCTTCGTCATCATCAGTCTCGCGGAGCCTTTCACCATATCAATATATGTGTAATCATTGTTATAATATTAGTATAAGTAGTTTAATAACATAATTAATTACATTATTTACAGTTTATTCATACTTTATATATTTCAAACTAGTTTGACCTAAGTGCCGTTTGACGAAAGTTAGTATTTCGAAGTCTGTACTCAATTAGCCAGAAAAAAAAATCAAATGTGTTATAAAATATTTTCTTTGTAAAAAAGCTTATTATAGAATTGAAGAATTTATAAATGATAATAATGTTTTTATAGAAAATATCTAACTTAAAATTCATAGCGCTGACAATGTTATCCGATTGAACAGAGATTAAGTGCGTAGCGGTTTCTATATTGATTGTCACATGCCTAATCCTTGTTGTTAATTAAATATAAGTAAATCAATATTTATTTAAAAGAGCAACACACAAGTTTCTTGCTTATTCTTCTTGTGATGAATCTGCATTCCGAATGAGCGGTAGAATAAAAAAACTTGATTATTCAAAAGTGGTTATATTAAGTTTATTTGAATAAAGATTATTTCTATTTCTATTTGATAAAGAGCTCAAAGTTTAATATTTATGTAATTTATTAATAATAAGTATAGTATAAGTAAGGAGCCAACATAATATCAGCGCTGCAGAGTTATCTGTAGCATTATGCAGAGTTGGCTGCCTTTTCACTTTTGCGGCACATAAGATCACCTACATTTCTTTTATTAATTCGTGTTTTTTTCTGTATCTCATGTATGTTATGTGTCTGTAATTGTGAATAAAGAATTTATCTATCTATCTATCTAACCAAACAGCAGTGACAACATAGTATTTTTGGAGAAAGTCTGTCATCCTGGCTACAGATGTCGTAATCTTTATCCTACGCCTAGTAATACAGAAATTTTTAAGTACGAGTACCCTATTTAAATACCAAACAACAAATATCGGTAATAATATGGTAAATTAGGGGAACGGTGCTTGTAGTTCCACCTGGAAAACATCGTGATGGTGAATATGCCACGATGGGACGACTGACCTGATCTCAGCACATCCTCTTCTATTCATTATGTTATATACTAGCTATGCCCGCGGTTTATAGCCTATGTTATTCTGATATATAAGCCATATTACTGTAAAGTTTCATCAAAATCCGTTCAGTAGTTTTTGCGAGAAAGAGTAACAATCATCCATCCGTACTCATAGACTTTCGCGTTAGTCATATTAATAAGATGTTCAATGAATTTTTATCCTTGCCAATTAAGTTAACACTATTCAAAAGTGCTTATATTTAAGTTTATTTGAATAAAGATATTCTGTTCTATGACACTGACCTGAAGCGTTATATGATCTCTTTTAAAGTACAACGAATCTGCAAGCAGATGTAACGGCCGCACTACAGCAGTGGAGGCGAGCACCCGAAGTGGTGCAACGTGGAGACCAGCGTTGGGAGCCCGGCACCACACCGTCCCGCGCACTATTCCACCGCCGGCCCAACATACCGGATGTATTGTGAATGCACCGGCTTGTAACGATCCATCGCTTGTCAAATTCTATAGTATATGTGGGAAAGAGAAAGAACATTAGGCTGTCTCTTGCGCACACTGCTGGCATCATAAGCCATGGCCAGGCCAAGGCAAGTGAAAACAGTGATGTGTATCTAAGAGACGATGATTAGGGAGACAAACAGTACTTATTATATTTATATAAAGTTTTTTTTTATGTAAATGAAAAGGCAAATAACAATCTACCTGATAAAAGTGGTAACAGATATATGAATAGTTCGTAAACGTTTTACAATGTATTCGCCGTTCTTGAGGACCAAAGTTATAGTTATGGTTGTGTACTGTGAAATTTAGATAAGTTTTAATGAAAAGGTATTAATAAATGATGCAGTATATTGGTCTGCGTGTACCTGACTTTATTCTGTCTACGTACGTCGCTCATGAGAAACATAAAAAAAAGCTAGAAGAAATGTTTATTGTGTATTTAAATCCTACTTAATATTTTATATTATAATTCTACGTAAGTACAAGCAATATCGTTTACTTAATGACAAGTTTGCATACAAAACTCTGATACGGTTATCGGTACTGGAAAAACATGTTATCTCTAACATTATTGACGATGATCATTCTAATATATCTCAAAGTCCTGTGACTTACGCATAACTCTCTCAATAAGATAAGACTCTATGTTGTTTGTAATTATAATAAAGCTAGTTACTCGCCCCGACATCGCCTGAGTGTACATGTAAAAAAATAGTTTTAAAGATTTAAGCATACATAGGGACGGACGGACAGCGACAGCGACTTTGTTTTATACTATATAATATATATATAATGATAATGATAAAGGTAATCGGTCATCTACCAAGCTACCAATAAGAATTTGAATGAAGTTTGAGAATCTTCTCACAGGGAAGAAATTATCGTATCAAAAGTTTTTTAAAAAAAGGATTTTTGAAGACATTATAATCGATCAAACAAAAGTCCTTATTTCTTTAGATAACAATAGATTTTTTCTTAGTCGATTATTTTTATATATTCCTAATTAGGTAACTTGATTGAAAATATAGGTTCGAGTAAAAAAATTGATCTTTTTCTCTTGTTTTGCTTGTCGCATTCCAAATTTCTTGTCCCTATTTCAAGACATTACGTACTAACATCTAAGCAGGATGATATCCAGGCATCTTCAGTCATTACGAAGAAAGCTGCATGCCGCGCCTCGCAGTTCAGAAGCAGCTGCACTTTGTGAACGTCACCCAGGAGTCTGGAGCCGAGCTCCACCACCTCACCGCAGCGGGTCACCGACTCCGCTACTTCCTCACCAGGTGTGCACGACAATGATGATGTGGATATATTTGGAACTAACACTAGAATATACAAGTTTATATAGTAACTAGCTTTTGCCTGCAGTTTCGCTCGCGTTAATTTCAAATCAAAATCCTTTCTTAGGGGATGCCTACGTCATAGTAGCTTTATGCAGGCAAAGTCTCAGCCCGATCGGTTTAAAATTGACAAACTTTCATACAAATTTTAATCCCCTATTTTATCCCCTTGGAGGTAGAATTAATCAAAATCCTTTCTTAGTGGATGCCTACGTCATAACATCTACCTGCATGCCAAATTTCAGCCCGATCGGTCCAGTGGTTTGGGCTGTGCGTTGATAGATCACTATGTCAGTCAGTCACTTTTGAGTTATATAATCTAAATAAGATTCTTGTATCTGTATATAGATTACTAGCTGTCCCGCGACTTCGTTCGCAAGGCATAGAGGACGAATGAGGAATTTCCATTTCATATCCTATTTTATTTCACCAAATTCAACCATCGGAAATAAATACTCAGCTTTGTAATGTATGTATTTGAAAAAAAAAAATGTATGTATTTATATCAGTTGTCTAGTACCCATAACACAAGCTCTGCTTACCGTGAGACTAGATGGCGCTGTGTTAATTGTCCACGGCTATTTATTTATTGCTCTACTTACCGTGGGACTAGATCTATCCGCCCCGGATTTACATGAGTGTACATGTATCTATACATATAAATAAAATTGGAGTGTCTGTTTGTAATATTGAAATAACCGTTTTTTACTACATGCATATAAATATAAATACGGTACATACACCAAAATAACATTTTTGATACTTTTTGTCTGTCTGTCTGTCGGTCTGTATGTTCCGGCCAATTTCTGAAATGGCTGGACCAATTTTGATGGGACTTTTTTTGGCAGGTAGATGATGTAATAAGAAGTAACTTAGGCTACTTTTATTTTATAAAGATATAGTTAAATTCCACGCGGACGAAGTCGCGAGAACAGCTAGTTGTACATGTGTATAATACATTATACACTTATGTAAATATTTACTCCTGTATGCAATAATAAATTAACAAGATTTAAAACTTTATCACTATAAGTGTTTACTGCGATGGCTTTTTGTTAACAACACAGCGAGGTCATAAACAAACAAACATAACAACAGGTTTATATAAACCTTTTGAATGTTTATCTTTTTTATAAAACTAGCTGTCCCGGCAACGGCTGTTTTAGGCTTAAAATAAAAAAAAAATTAGGGGTGGACTACCCCTAACATTTAGGGGGATGAAAAATAAAATACTCAGACCAGCCGTTTCGGAGTATGGGAACGAAACGGCTTGACCGATTCTCATAAAATTTTGTGAGCGTATTGAGTAGGTCTGAGAATCGGCCAACATCTATTTTTCATCCCCCTAAATGTTAGGGGTAGTCCACCCCTAATTTTTTTATTTTAAGGCAAAACAACGTTTGCCGGACAGCTAGTATATATATATATATATATAATTATAGGGGCTTTATTTATATACCAGTTTTTTTGTATAGAAGTATTTTATTGTAATAAAAGTAATTTACAGACAGATAAAGAAATGAAGAACAGTATAAAAAAAATTGTGATCAGAAGTACAATAGTTTAAAATAATATCTGCAGAAGAAGCCATTTTGTCGTTAGTATTTTTTCCCGCGCAAATCACAATATGCCACAGACGCATAATGTTGCACGGTACACAGATGCAGTAGGATGCCGAGCGCGTCATGGCTGTATGCGCGATGTTACTACAAGTATTAACACTATCTATTCTTAAAAACCTTATAAAAATCTGTTGCGTAGTTTGAAAGTCACAGCGGAAGCAACTTCAGTTTATACCATGTAAAGATTTCTACCGACCTAGTTCAAAATTGAACACCTTTTGATGTTAGAAATGGTTATTACATTAATTATTGTTCTCGATTCAGATTTACGTGTTTTGAATGTAACGTTAGAGTAAACAACGCCAATAATATCACATCCTGGCTCCGGACCGAAGCTGTTCAGCGTCAGAACTAGAGATGTGTCAACTCGAGTTGAGCATAGTTCGGGTTAACTCGAGTTGAATTCTATGAAATCGAGTTGGAAGAATTCAACTGGTAAATGAATGAATCAAGTGAAAGAGCGAGAGCATGATTCTGTCATCGAACTGACAATGACATGAAATTTTCCGATCATTTCATATCATACAATTTTCACTCGTCACAAATATTTCAGTATTGATTAGAGGTTGTTATAATTTTTTTTCGCATATTCATCTAATTATGTTATCAATAAAATGATTATGTGTTCCATAAGTCCTTCCGCGGCTTTAAAGTGCCATTTCTACTCGCTACTAAAGTTCAGAGAAGCTTTCAAGGCTAGCTGCGCCCAAAAACATTAAAATTGAAAAATAAAAATAAAACTTTTTATTCCAGTTAACTCGAGTCAACTCGAGTTACGTGACTTTTAACTCGAGTTAACTCGAGTCATGTTTGTTACGAGTTAGCACATCTCTAGTCAGAACGCATGTTTATAATATTGTTATTAACCACATGACTTATCAAAGCATAACACCAATATATACACTGGTTAATATGCCACTAGATACACTATTTGCATTTCTGTGTAGCTTCTAATATGATACGAGTATGTTATGTATTACGTGTAACATATATATAACTTTTGTGTATTCAAATGGGTACATGAATGACTTTCTATTAAGTGCGTAGCGGTTTCTATGTTCATTGTCGCATGCCTAATCCTTAAATATAATTAAATCTATATTTATTTAAAAGAGCAACACACAAGTTTCTTTTTTATTCTTCTTGTAATGAATCTGCATTCCGAACGAGCGGTAGAAAAAAAAACTTGACTATTCAAAAGTGGTTATATTAAGTTAATTTGAATAAAGATTATTTCTATTTAGACGTATGTTCTTTGGAGAAAATAAGGAAAATAAAATAGGGAACGAATGCGCGCACCGCTTGCTCGCGTAGTCCCAGGTTCTTTCTCGCTTGCATCAGCGCCCTTTTGTAATAATTAATTATCAGAGCAAAGATATAATTATAGATTATTGATAAAAACTTATTTTTAGAAAATAATATCTGTGGAATATAAAGTCATTTTTTAAAAGGAACCATTAATAAATGACACTAAATAATCTTAGATAATTAACGTCTAGAACCACGGTAGGCAGAGCTTGTGTTATGGGTACTAGACAACTGATATAAATACTTAGATTTCTTTTATATACATACATAATATACATAGAAAACATCCAAACCGATGCAAACAATCATACTAATTAATATAAATATTTTCACCGTGCGAGGCATCGAACCTGCGACCATCGGAAATAAATATTCAGATTTTTCATTTTTTAAAGCATACATGATATTCATAGAAAACACCCAGACCGATGCAATCATACTGATCAATATAAATATTTCAACCGTGCGAGGAATCGAACCTGCGACCATCGGAAGTGAAGCCATTATCACCTTTCCATTCTCAATTAATATTGTAAAGTATTCAAACCATCTAATATAGGAGGTTGCATATAGCACGCAATCGGCACGACCAGCGGCTTCCCAACAGAGACCCGCACGTGGAGGCAGTCGTGCAGCGCGAGCACGTCGCGCGGCCGGAATTGCACGCGCAGCTCGGCGGCGGCCCCCGATGTCACCGTCAGTCCTCGAACCCCACATATGTGTACAGCCAGCTCTCGCCGCGCCGGCGGCCGCACTGACACTCTTATTTCGAATTTGGACACATTCACCAGGCGAAGGGAACGCTGTTGGTGAATCAGATAGGGTTCGTAAATGTGAAACGTTTAAAGAACTATACTATGTACGGTATAGCCTGGCGCGGGTGACAGTTACCTGCATTTGTAGACTACAACATTCTGGTTACAAATGACCAGCTGTACATGCGACTTGGTCCGCGTGGAATTAAACTTTACTTTTCTAAAATAAAAGTAGTCTAGGTTACTCCTTATTATATAAGCTATCTGCCAAAAGGTATTCGGTCAAAATCGGTCCAGCCATTTCAGAGATTAGCCGGAACAAACAGATAGCCAGACAAACATTGTAAAACATGTTATTTTAATGCACGCATGACGCCAGCAGTGTGCGCTAGAGACGTCATAATGCTTCCCTCTCTTTCCCACGTATACTACAATAATAATAACAGTACCACGTATGGCGTACTATAATATTAATAATTAATAATCTCAAAATATAAAATTCAAATAGGACAATTCACACAGCGCCATCTAGACCCAAGTTAAGCCAGCTAAAGCTTGTGTTATAGGTACTAATTATAGTTGATATATATACATAGGTATATTTTTTTTAGTAAATACATACATATACATACATAGAAAATACATATATATTATACATAGAAAACATCCAGACCGATACAAACAATCATATTCATGAATACAAATGTTTGTGGCGTGCGAGGAATCGAACACGTGACCGCGTTGTAAAGACCGCTAGACCACCGAGGTCGTCAAATAATATTGCCACACATATTATATTTATTAGTAAAATTAAATTGACCATCTCATTGATTTACTACCCTAAACTACACTCAGGATGATTGAAACATTAAATCAGAAATAAAAAAAAATACAACGTCACGTTAGATTCCAATAGGTATGTTATCGAAAGTGTAAAATGTTTCATCACAACATTAAGACTTAACAATACATCTGACTACCCCATCCGGAATATTAGTTATGATGATATGCTGTTTTATCCACTACACATCCTATGTGGTTGCAGGCCACTCATGCATAAATGAAATATCTCCTTTGGAAAGTTTACACTCTTTCCCGAGGAGATAAAAACCATCGCTCCTAAGAATATCCTTCAATTCTTGTCCCTGACGGGTCTAGGTAGCGGACTTTGAAAAAAGGCGAGCACAATAGCTCTATGTAGGTCGCAGTGCTACAGGCACCTGACAATAGCCAAAACAACCCAATAAAAAATGCTCATATAAATTTATGTGAAAATATTACAGCCAAATAAATATATGAAAAGTCGGCCGCCCAACAAATTACTGATACAGATCCAACATATCAATATGCAGTCACCAATTTGTCAATGTCACAAGATACGAAAATGAAACATGGCAACGAATTTTAGCTACGTGTGAAGGTTTCAAATGATAATTGATATCTGTAATGTATGGATATTTTACATCACGATTTAAATCAAACATTCGTCAAACAAACTCTCACGTATTTTTTTGCGGAGATAGCAAATTCTTTTTTAAATTTTGTTTTTATACTAGTATATATAAATGAGCTTAAGGCTCACCAAAGGCTAAGTGAAGATAGGCTAATGAAGATAGATAGATAGCTAAATTCTTTATTCACAATTACAGACAGATAACATACATGAGATACAGAAAAAACACGAATTAATAAAAGAAATGTACGTGACTTTATGTGCCACAAAAGTGAAAAGGTAGCCAACTCAGCATAATGCTACAGATAACTCTGCAGCGCTGATGTTCTGTTGGGTCCTTATTTATTATTACTAAAAAAATACTTATTACGCGTGTACAATTACATTTGTGCATGTGGTGTCACCGTAAGAATAGCACCCCTCTCTCCTGTGGGTGTCGTAAAAGGTGACTAACGGATTCATCAACCAGTGGACGGGGGTTCTACTGAGTAACTACCACCACACTGTGATCGCCAACCCGCATGCCAAGCGTAGCGAATATGGCAATATCCCCCCAAATGGATTTACACTCTCGTCGTGGAGAGTTGGGGGAGGTCTATGTCCAGCTGTGGACGTCTTCCGGGCTGCGATGATGATGATGATGATAAGAGGGGACAATTGAGCTTGCTGCTCACCAAATGATAAGTTTTCACCGCTCTTTAACACTAGCAATACCAGGGGAATTGCAAGTACATTGCCAGCCTTTTAAGAAGGAATAAGCTCTTTTCTTGAAGGTTTCAATTGTGTAATAGACTTTGCAAGTGTGTACATGTTATACATATAAACCTTCCTCTTGAATCACTCTATCAATTCCTAAAAGCTGCATTAAAATCCGTTGCGGAGTTTAAAAGGACTAACAAAAAGCGGAAACGAATTCTTCAAATAACGACATGCAAGTGCAATGCTAGCCTTTTAAGAGGGAATATGCTCTTTTCTTTAAGGTTTCAATATCGTATCGGTTCGAAAATACCATTGTTGGAAGGTGATTCCACAATATGATTGTGCGTGGCAAAAAGTTTCTAGGAAAACGCACTGTGGAAGTACGCTATTGATCCAGATGATTAGGATATTATTTTAGAATTGTGCCAATGTTATACTACATATGTTCTGATGAATTGTTCGACATGATGCCGACGGCCACCTTTTACCATCGCACCGCTCGCCATCGACAGGGAATTCATTCCCACACGCTGGAACCTAAGTGGTCTCGGACAATGCGGTTTCAGATGAGCTTCCTCCCGCGTACACTTAGATTGTGGAACGAACTACCTGCCGATGTTTTCTCACGAGACTACAGCATGGGGTTTTTCAAGAAGAGTATATTATGGTTTCTTAAGGGTCGGCAACGCGCACATGACACCCCTGGTGTTTCAGGCGTCCATAGGCTACGGTAACCATTTATCATCAGATGGGCCGTATGCTTGTTTGCCACCGTCGTAGTATAAAATAAAACCCCTTCAACCCTTTACAACTCTTTTTTTTTTTTGAATAAAAAGTAGCATATCTCCTT